AACACATCAACTTTTCACACTGTAATGCTCACTACTCTTGAGTACTCTTAAGGGCTACTTTTTACTCATACTTTGAGTAACATTCACAACATATACTTTTACTCTACTTGCGCTACATTTTTAGCCAAGTAATGGTACTTTTACATGAGTGTGATTTTTCAGTACTCTTTCCACCACCACACAAGTATAAGCTAATAGTATGCAATTAAAATACCTATCTATATATAATACATCTCATTTCTTTACACTAAAGAAAACCCTAAATAAAGACCAAATCTGCAGCTCTTCTGGTTTATAACAGGAAGATTTAGTTGCCCATCAGTCTTTTTTTCTACCAGCAGCACAGGCTCTTCAGTGGTGATGAACTGATGGACTCTGATGTGCCGCCCAACACCCATAATTCAACCCCACCCGCCATCCCCCCAACCACAGAGATCCTGTCTATATGGAGCCTTTGCAGAGAGTGGTCATATTTCTCTCTGTGTTTGTGTATGTGTATGCATGTGCATGAGAGAGAGAGAGAGAGAGAGAGAGAGAGAGAGAGAGAGAGAGAGAAGTGCACCTGTCCTGGACTCTGTTCACTGCAGTCCCTTCACATGCATTATTAATGCAAGTCTTACAAAGAGAGGTGTGCTATGAAGAAAGTGGCCCATTGGCCCATACTGCACCTTTACATGACATAAAAAGTCCAAAATGCTCTAGGAGCTTTCTTTTTATGTAAACACACATTTTTATTTAAGTATTTTTAAGTGGTGACAAAATGGATGAATATTTAAAATGCCACAAAGTGGTGCTTGTAAAATCAAGATTTTAGGTATGAAAAATAATCACAAGGATTATGTATAACTAAAGAGTTTCATATACTATCTAAGCTGAATAATAATAATTCCAAAGGTCTGGCACACTGTTATATCCGCATTCAGTTTATTAATGTGCTCTGCTGGACTGACAAGAATCTCATCAAACAACAACAGTACATGCTAAACATAACGTGGACATTCAATCTTATCTAAATGGCTAATATGGATGAGATCATCCAATTTCAGACATCATTATACTTTTGAAATATTAGTCCTAATATAATACCTTGTAAATCACTATGCAATTCAATACAACTGCCATTCTTTTACTGCATATTGTGTAAATATGAGCAGAAGTTGCAGTGCAAGGTGTGTTAATCTAAAAACTTTATTCTTGTAAAGTTGTCTATTTGTTGTAAATGTTGATTGTCTTTTGAAGGGCACCTATGGTGAAAAGTCTACTTTTCAAGTTTGGACAGACATGTGTGTAGATATAGTGTATAGACCGTAATAATGGGGTGATATAAACACACACAGTTCTTTTTTTTGAAATTTAACAACATAAAAAAGGTGGACCAATTGGAGCAGTTTTTAGACCGGCCGCAACTTGACGTAGGAATGCGGTCCCCCTGCCCACCAACATGGTTAGTCATATCACCATATCACCATATCCTCAGTTTGTTGTTTCACGTCTGCCATTTTCAGCGTGTGGTCAAAGCGATATCACTAAAGGAACACCCTTGCTCTAGTTTTAGATGTAAGGCTCATTGGGCTCAACACAAGATCAATATTCTCCACATTATCACTCTAATAGAAATTATTGTTTGTACCTTTTGGAAGGTTTGCAAACATGTGTACTTTTCATAGCGTCTACCTTAAACTTCAGCCGTTTGCATTTCTCGTGAAAACAGAACCTCCCTGTGATCTTACCTAGGTGCAGCTGGAAAAGTGCAAGCGCGTTGCGTCATGTGTGCATCTCTCCATTGGAAATAAAATCACAAACTTTCCTGCAGTTCGCACACCAGAAGCGCCGCTCTGCGTGGCACAGCCCCATGCATTTTAGAATTATAAACATAGGTTTCTATCAGGGTGCACCTGATAACAAGCTTGTCACTTGAAACTAGCACACAGTTGGCTGTAAAACTATACAAAAGTAAATGATTTTGTACTCTCTGCTTGGTCTGTTTCAGAGTTGTATATGTACGGCTGAATGCTGATCCTTTCATGTAGCTTAGCTTCTCTCTGTCTGCTTGTCTGTTGCAAACACAGAGCATGGGAGCTCTTGGCTCCGCCCCCTTGTTACTTTGGGCGGGAAGCCGAAACTAATTTTCATGTAAAACAACCCGCCCATAAAACAGCGAGCTGTATAGACGTCCCCAACATGACACTTTTTAACACATTATAATAAAAAATCTGAACTGTGTGTTGAACTGAACCTAAACTAGCACACTCAGAAGAACCATAATATTAATATTAAATCATAAAAAATGGGTAAACTATGTTCCCTTTAAAATTCCATATGTCTAGACTTAGATCCCATATATCTATCTAGCTGTGATATCAGAATTTTAAATAAAGCAATCTGGAAGCTAATGAGAAGCTACACACACATTAGCAGCTCAGTGCCAATGTTTTGTCAATATCTACAAATGACCATGTGTAAATTCCTGCTGTTCATAGTCTTGCGAATCAGGCTGGGGTTTTATGCTTAAATTGATTAGTTGCTATACAGAGATAATGGGCTTGTTCTAGTGATCCAATACAGTGATGCTTGTGTGAGCTGATTTTTTTAAAGCGACACTGCTAGAAAAAGATTCATTCATTTATTCACTTTTTCTTCAGCTTAGTGCCTTACTTATCAGGGTCGCCACAGCGTAATGACTGCCAACTATTTCAGCATATGTTTTACACATCGGATGCCCTTCCAGCCACAACCCAGTACTAGAAAAAACATTCACACACATATACACTCATACACTACAGCCAATTTAGTTTATCCAATTCACCTAGCGCATGTCTTTGAACTGTGGGGGAAACCAGAGCACCCGAAGGAAACCCACATGAACACAGGGAGAACACACAGACTCCACACACAAATGCCAACTGGCCCAACCGGGACTGGAACATGTGACCTTCTTGCTGTGAAGCAAAAGTGCTAACCACTGAGCCACCGTGCCACCAACATTTACTCAAACATTTAACAAGTGCTATTTATTGAGTTATTTGTTTCAACCCATTTTAAACAAAATAGTTTTAATAACTAATTTTAGTTAATAATTTATTTTGTTTATAATGAGGACAATACATAATTTAGTCTAGTTATTAACCATCTAGTTATTTTGCAATATACTAGTATTCGGGTTAATTGGTTACTAAGCAATGTTACACTGTAAAACCCAGCAGTCATCTTTATCAAATGAAATGAGTGTAGTTAACTCTAAATTTACTAAAAGTTAATTCTACTCATTTGAAAAGAGTTTTGAACTAGTTTTGGTAATGAGTTCATTAAATACCTCATTAATCAGATTTAAATGGAGTAAGTTCACAGTACTCATATAGATTAGGTTTTAAACTCAGATGGTTTGTAGTAATCGGGTTCCTCAAATGGTTTGAGTTGCCTTAACTTATTGGGCTTTACAGTACTCAGTTGGTTTGAGTTGTCTTCATTTATTGGGTTTGTATTTGCATTTTGGTATGTTACTTTTGTATGAACCATTTGGTTTAAACTCATTTGAATTTAAAATTCATTTGTGATTCAAAAGTATACTGTTTTATTCATCAGTCATTAAGGGTGTGTTTACACTTGCCAGGTTTAGATCATTAAAAAACTCTGGTGTGAAAAATATCATATATTTCTTAGTGCAGACATGGGAAATTTCAGGCATTAGGAGGTTTTTTTCTTGAGAAACAGAAGAACTGAGACTGTTCCTCAAATTGTTCTGACCTCCTTACACATTTTGTTAACTCTTTACAAGCTTTTATGTAATTAAAATATCATCACATGTGCACACATACATCGAGCATGCCCAGCATTGCTTTGGCTGTTAAGTTAGTTCTTTTGCTAAATGAATAAATCCTTTCTTTAAATCCTTAGGTTCAATTTGAAAAGAAAAATTATGTTATGAATGCAAACAAACAGAATACATTTATTATTTTAGTTTTTTTTGGAGCTCAGATAGAATTGAACTAGTGTGAATGCCCTGAAATTTGATGGACTGTCGATTGCATCAATTCTCCTCAGAATTTGACATGAATTTTATGCCAACATTTACATTTAATTCATGAAATACTTATTATTTTCTATTAGACAACGAAAAATAAGAATGTATTTTGCTGTTTTTGTAGCAGCATTACACATAAAGCAACATGAAAAAATTTTCTAATTATAAATCTCATGCAAATTTTAAAACATGAGATTAAGTAATGAAAACTGAAAACCTCTACAGAATATTTAATCAGCTCAAGAAGGATGGGACTTTTCCCATTGGGAAGTTGTAAACAAACAAAATCTGCCACTGGGGCGGTACCTTTTCAAAATATACACTTTTGTGCCTACCAGGTCCACTTTGGTACCTTAACTAAACACTTTTGTACACATTTGTACTTTTTTGGTACAAATGTCAATATTTAGAAAAAGTACTGCCCCAGTGACAGGTTGTGTACCTTTATTTTAAAAAAGAATGAAGGATTTTCATTCAAATTATTTCATAGCTATTGACGTAAAATTCAACTTTCACGATTGTGAAAAACATTTTTGGTCATTTTCTCTTTGTATTAGCTAATATAGAATAGTGAATTAACATATGAAACACATGTCGAAAAGAAGCTATTTTGTAAGCAGTGATCTCGAGGAGATAGCAAGATATTAACGACAGAGGACGGTCGTGGACAAAATCAGCTTCCCTTGCAGACTGACTCAAAATGATCGCTATTTACCGTTATCACAAATCTCCCGTTCTTTCTGGATTGTTCTCGCAACGTTATATGGAGATGTGACGTGCTTCATTCACGTGTTTCCTTTTTCTACCTGGGCACTGCAAGCTTCGGGTAATATTATTTTCTGTGAGGTTTTATTGACATTTGACAGATCTGCTACAAATCAATTAGACTACCTGAGCCACCTCAATTCACCACAACCAGCAGAAAGGCGCTACCTGTCAGTGTCTTCCTGCCATCACAAACACAAGTCGCTGAACTTACGCATTGCCGATGTAAATCCTGGGAAAGACCTCGTTGAAATGTTGTGCAGGGAGGCTGTAGAAACCGCTGCCGTCCGACAGCAGCTTGTTGAGTTGTTGTACAGTCGCCTCGGTGTCTGTAACGGTGACTTCCAGTGGTGCCTTCGCGGGGCTGTGGTGTTTCTTCATGCTTCAGCCCTCCTCCTTCAAAAGCAAAAAAAAAAAAAAAAAAACACAACAAGTGTCTAGAGATGAAGATGCGACAGCTTTCGGTTTCCTGGCATTTTATTTCCCTCTCCTCTCGGTGTTATTTTGCGTGTTTTCGTGAAGGCTCTTTCTCTTTGCAGGCAGACAGACACACCCGGACTCGCCCACCGGCGGTCTGATGCGATGCTCCGGTGAGCTCGGTAACAGAACTGGCAGAAGATGGCGACAACGGACCTAGACAATATTCAATGGGAGGCGTTAAAGGGAAAGGCTATGTCTTCTCGAATGCAAGCACGGTTCTTGACAGGTTAGACAGCATTTAATGCATTAATGTCGACTGTTGTGTGTTAAACATGATCCTCAACGATTATGCTCTACACGGAGACCGATTTGTAAAACCATTAATCTAGAAACACGAGCCTGTTCCCGAGCATCAACCCCTCCCTTCACGTACGGGTGGATTTGTGTGTTAATTGACGTTGTGACAGGCAGGCTCGTTGAAAGTGATTACAATTGTTTGTTTGTTTGTTTGTGTGTTTGTTTGTTTACTTTTCTCTCTCCCATTTTATTTCAACTTCTCTGAAAGTCCACCCACTTGTGATTAGAGTTTGTCTCTCATAAATTAGCAGGCACGTGGCCCATCCTTTACTACTGACCTACTGTATTGTTGTTAAATAGAATAAACATTTTACAAGTAACTTTTATTTTAAATCTTGGACCTTACACATTAAACAAAAAAAATATCAATAAAAGGTGTGAAGCACCAAAAGCGGCCCATATTAAAGTTAATACTAATCAGGCTACTGTTATCCATGAATTTTTAATTGAACTTTTTTTACAAGAGAAAAATCTAAAATTGTGAAGCTCTACATCATTATTATTGTTTATTTAATTTTATTTATTTTTTAATTCAAATAACCAAGTTCTAACTGAGGAAATTTGAATGCCGTCTAGATTGTTATTTGCCTAATAAATGAAAATATGCTACAGTTTTTAATTTAAAAAAAATTAACTAATCCTATTTTTTTTCATAGTGACAAATCATATATTAAATTAGTATTTGAAAGTTAGTTTTTTTTTCAAACTCTTTAAGGAAATGTTTTGGTACATCAAAAAGTTTGGCTCTGATGACCAGCTGACTAGCTATTTAAACAAAAAAGTGCTTAAAATGTCATTAAAATGCAATATTTCAACATCCTAATTATAAAGAAAATGATGCAAATAACTGCAAAAAGGTTCAGTTTTTGAGAAAAAAAAGAACCACCCCTTTCACCAGGCTGGCTACAGGTCTGAATTAATTAGTTTTTATCTTGTCTAAATGTGCCTTAGGCCTACTGTAAAACGGAATTAAAGATTTACAATACTAATATATGAAAACTATAATGCCTAAAGGTTACTGATGAACTAATGATGTGTTATGTCAAGCATTATCAAGAACTAACCTTAACCATCATATGAAAACACAAAAACGAAGTGTTAATTAACATTTAATGATTAAATAATTACTAAATTAACAAAAATGTACTGAAATAAGGTGATCTTATAAATGAATTGATATCGAGGTTAGTTCTTGATTAGCTCATGCCCAAACAAACTAATGGATCATAATATTAAATGTAGGTGTCTGTGCATTTTTATTTTTGCAAAAGTAAACATTAACAAAATATTAACAGAGCTATATAATGTTTTAAAAGACATATTTGTGGTCTATGAGCTTTTAGGGAAGTGCTGGTGATTCTGGTGGAGAAAGTCAAAGCTGACTTTTTAAATATGGGTATAATTTGTCTTCTATAGCCTATATCAGAGAGGATTAAAAATACATTGAAATGTATTTTAAAATAAGTCACTAAATGCCTTAATTTTAGGTGTATCACAATAAACTACAAAATACAGCAACCACTAATGTATCAAAATAAAATACAGTATTTTGATTTTAAAAATACATTTACTAAAGAGCATGACATTTCATTGCAAATCTTCCATCAATAGATCGATCAATCCTTTCCAAATTAAACTGACTTAGTGAAGTAAACAATGTTTGATGGCGAATGTGGCCAGTGAAATTGCCATCATCTCTGTACAATGATTATTTGATCTCTTATATTTTAAAAGGGTGTTAAATAAGGAGTTTATTAAAATGTTGCCAATTTTGCCATTTATTAAAATATTGCTATGGAACTCTTCAATCCTCAATGTAAAAACTGTATCTAGGAGATTTTTGATTATTAAACATTGTTTTTCATATGTTTTGACATCTTAAGGCTTACATCTTTCCTCTTTATTAACTATACAGTGGACCTACTGATCAACCACTGGCATTTGAAACAGCCAATGAAGTATTGCAGTAATTGCCACTGTAGGGCTTATTTTATTGTTTGTTTTAACCACAAACATTTGGCATCTGCAATCCATCCAAGAGTGCATATATGATGTAGATTTCTACAAAGTATTTTACAGTATACAAATACAAATTACAAAATACTATCTTGTATTTGAAATACGTATTTGAAATACATGTATCATAAATACTGCCCATCCCTGGCCAATATCACAGATTTGTTTCATTAGTGCGACCAATCCAAAATAACAATATTATGTTATTATTAATTATTATTAAATAATAGTAAGTTTTTTTAATAAAAGAAATGCATACTTCTCAGTGTTTATCACCTTACCTCATATGCCACTTTAATTTTTATGTTTATTAATATAACCAAATACTAGACTATCGGGTGTGTATCAGTAACATGAAAATAAATAATAATGCACTGCTTCATGAGCACGCAAACAAAACATCATAAACCCACATTTGCAATTATCAAATAAACCACTAGAGGGAGGTACAGTACATTTTATTCCATGGTAAACAAATCTGTACAAGACAGCGTGTTTACCAAAAAAAATCTCTGAAAAGCAAATTGGATTAAAGGTCAAAACGCAATGACAGAAACGATGTTTATTCTACCTGATTGGTCATGCATGTTTACTCTAGCTTGTTTCACAGCATTCAGTCATGTTTTTGTTTTTACCTTAATGCCCATCACATAGGCTTTCCTCACAGTTGAATGATTTTTTTTCTAAAGATACCATTCTACTTTTTGTAATGATTTTTCTTTTTTTAAATACTACTTCCTGGCAAGCCTTTAAATGCATTTTTTAAATAAAATTATCATACTAATCTAAACAAAATCATATTTTTTTTTCATTGAGTAGAATTTTTATTCCAGCTGTTTTATGTAAGAGGCTCAGCTTGTCGCATTGATGAGTTTGAGCGAACAGCAGATCAATGATAGAAGAGTGATTAGAGCTGCTCTTGTGTCCAATAACAGTTGACCTCTACTATGACTTCTGTTCCTTGGTTGCGTAAATACAATCAATCTGACTGCTTACTCTGTGATTATACAGTACAGCTTAAAGATGCCATAAACATGCTTCTTTATTTGTATATCAAGCCCAAATGTTTTGTCTGCATACCCGTTGTGACTTGTTACCTTCTTTGAATGACATGTTATTGTAATATTTGAAATCAAACGGTTGCTGCATGTTATTATCTGACCATAACATTATCAAAACATTACAATTACAATATTTCTTTTGTGTTTGCCTTTTTACTGATAGTATGCTTGTGTGGATTTCTCTATATGGAGCCAAGGGCATGATTTGAATATATGGAGGACATGTAGGGTTAGATGGACTTGGAGGGGGGCTGCATCGGTTTAATGGCCCTTTTATTGACAACTTGGGACTTTGTATGTCCATGCAATTTATCCAGCAGCAAACTAAACCACCTGAGACCCTGACAGCATATCCCAATAAAAGCAAATAGCACTTTGATTTATTTAAGAAATTAGCAAATAAAAGAATAATTTTCTTGTGTGTAAAGAATATATTTTGTTTTGGAAAATGTTGGAAACCTGTAAAAACTGAAATCAATAGTAAAAACAAACAATATGGAAGTCTGTGGATATAAGGTTTCTAAATTCTGCTTCAAAATATTATCTTCTGTGTTCAACAGTACAAAAAAATCTCAAACTGTTTGAAACAAGCCAAGTAAATGGTGACAATTTTAATTTTTGGATAAACTATCCCTTTTTTAGAAAGCAGAAAGAAAACAAATAATAATTCTTGCCACGAAAAATGTAAGAGCAATTTGTACATTTGAAATTGATTAAAAAGAAAATCAATACATTAATTTTTGTGTTTAGTGTACAGTTGTGGCTTGCTAATTTTGCATCAATTATGACAACAAAGTCCCAGTTTGTTCCTTGTTCCTTCATTCATTCATTCATACATTGTGTTTTCGACTTAGTCCCTTTATTAATCTGGGGTCGCCACAGCAGAATGAACCACCAACTTATCCAGCATATGTTTTATGCAGCGGATGCCCTTCAAGTTGCAACCCATCACTGGGAAATAATGTTATTCTTAATATTTTACATTTTTTATTAATTAAAATAAATTTGTAAAATAAAATGAATTTTGTTTATTTCTCAACGGAAAATGATGTGGCATATTTTTTTTTATTTTTACATTTCCTTTTTTTTTTTAAATATGGAATTACTGGATATTATAGTGGTATCATGCCAAAGCTGTTTATTAATTTCCTTTTGTAAGAACAAAATCATTAGAAATATATATTAAACCATTATTTCTATCAGATATAATATAACTATTGCTGTTAAGGTGGCACAGTGGCTCAGTGGTTAGCACATTCACCTCTAAGCATAAATATAGCTGGTTCGAGTCCCATTTCTGTGTGGAGTCTGCATGTTCTCCACGTGTTCGTGTGGTTCTCCTTCGGGTGTTCCGGTTTCCCCCATGCGCTATAAGGGAATTTGATGAACTAAATTGGCCAAAGTGTATGAGTGTGTGTGAATGTGAGAGTGTATGTGTGTTTCCCAGTACTGGGTTGCAGCTGGAAGGGCATCTGCTGTGGAAAATATATGTCGGAATAGTTGCCGATTCAATCCGCTGTGGTGACTTCTGATAATTAACGACTAAGCTAAAGGAAAATTAATTATTGCAGTTATTGTTATAACTTGTGTTATGCCAAAATACATGCTAATTCATAATAAATAATAAAACAAATATTGTGGAGCCAAATTAAATCTTATGTATTTATTATACAGCTTTATAGCTTTAATTTTTCAAATAAACATTAAAATGTATTGTTTTAATGATATGTTGAGTTCTGTACATGTTTTTCAGAGAGAGATATAATACACGGTACCCCAGGGAGCAATGTACCAAATCAGCAAGTTTCTCTATATCCACAGGGAATTTGTGCCTATACAATTTGCATTCTGATTAGTTAGAGCGATGGATATTTTGAAAGTACATTTATAAAGCATTTGGTCTCCTCCAAAAATGTATCTGACCCTGCTGTTTTTGGATTTAAAGAGAACAATCCAAAGATTGAGATGCAAATCTTACTGCAGTAATCAGTACCATATATGAGCCAGTGGGTGGCACTCAGCTCTGCAT